TAAGAAGTCTGGGTCAGCACCCCACATTCAATTTCATTACTGTTTCCACAACAAATTTTTTAAATATGAACACTAAGTTGGGGGAAAAAACTATTAAAAGACTAATCAGTTCATACCAGGTTTTACCACCAACCTAAATATAAAAAAAACTTTGTTTCAGAATTTTTTGTGATCCCAGTACTACACACATGGAGTTATATATCTTTATGACTAGTGGCATTACTATTGTATCACCTTAGAGTTTTGTCATATGCACAGCTTTTTTCCCCCTACATTGAAGGGAATTATGAATTCAAACTGCTTAGAATAACAATGTTCATTCCATTAAAATCTGAAGAACGGTTTAATGATTTTAGACAATCGAGCTAAATGCTTAGAAATAATAAACATTAAATTCAATGATTCATTTCTGTGTGAAAACAGAGGGATATAACCAGGAAGGGACACACAGGGGCTTCAACTATTCTGGTAATGTTTTATTTTTTAAGTTGGGTGATAGGTACCTAGAGATTTGGGACATTAGTTAAGATACTCAGAAAGACATAAAGAATATTTCATAACAACTTTTTTCTTAAATCAACCTAAATTACTTATTTAGTAAACATTTTAATAGACGCGAAAACTTTGGACTTAACAGGGACTTGGCTGAGGTTTATATTACAGCATTCCTGCATCTTCTCGGCGTTCCAGCAGACATCCCTTTCAAAGGTCTTCCCTCAACAGCAGCAGCAATTAAAAAAACAGGTTCCCTGGCCTCAAAAAACACTTTCAATCTGAATTTAAATCTGCACTTAGCCTGTGTGACTTGTACATTCATTAATAGGTTTAGACAGGCAAGCCCAAAACAGACCACAAACCAGCTCTCAGCCAAACAACTGAGGTTCATTCATTGTATTTTCTGCTGTAGACAAAACTGACTCCATTCTTACTACCTCAAAGATGAGAAGGGAATGTAATTAGGAAGAGAGAACAAAGAGATCATACTTCAGCAGAAGAGTGTCTGTTACAGGTTTTAGAAGAAATACAGTTCATCAGCATTATTTGCTAAGTAAATCCCAATTTTGTTCCCTTTAAGGAATCTTGAAAGCATTTTGTATTTTTCAAGGACAGAGGTGTTTCTAGCATCTTATGGCTATTTTCAAAGAGTTAACACAATGTAGCATCTCCTTAGATTTTCTAGATGGCCTTATAAAAAGGTGAACAAAGTTATCTCCAGTTTACTAAGAGGAGATGAAACTTTCCTGTAGTCATGTAATTGGTCTGGTATCCCAAATCTAAACACAGGTAGAAGTGGGACTACAGCATAGGTCATTTACCTTTCCTTGGTAGACTCAAATGTCTTATTATAATAAATCACATTCTATTTTACTACTATTTTTTTATGTTTTTATTGATTTCAGAGAGTGGAAGGGAGAGGGACAGAGAGATGAAAACATCAACAGTGGGAGAGAGTCACTAATCAGCTGCCTCCTGCACAATCTCTGCTGGGGATCAAGCCGGAAACCCAGGCATGCACCCTGACCAGGAATCAAACCTCGATCTCCTGAATCACAGGTCGATGCTCAACCACTGAGTCACACCAGGCAGGCAATAAACCAAATTCGAAACAGGTTTAACATCTTCTACCCAGACGGGTGAAGTTAAAAAAAACCTCTTCATTGCTATTTCTCTCATTTTAAAAAAGTTAAGACCCTAAGTTAGTGGCTCACCGACAATTTCAGCATACAGCATTCTAGGAATACATTTTCTTTTTCCTTTTTTTAATTTTCTTTAAATTTATCTTTATTGTTGAAAGTACTATAGGTATCTCATTTTTTTCCCCCATTGACCCCTTCCACCTCACTCCCACCCCCTCCCTAGGCCTTCACCCCATTATTGTCTGTCTTTGGGTTATGCATATATGCATATGACTTCTTGGTCAATCTCTTCCCACCCTCCTACCCCCCTTCCCTCTGAGACAGGACCGTCTGTTGTATGCTTCAATGTCTCTGGGTCTATTTTGTTTGTCAGATTCTTTTGTTCATTAGCTTCTTCTTAAAGAAGACCCTTCAACATTTCCTGTAGTGCTGGTCTGGTGGTGATAAACTCCTTTAGGTTTTTCTTTATCTGTGAAACTCTTTATCTGACTCTCAGTTCTAAATGATAGCTTAGCTGGGTAGAGCAATCTTGGTTGTAGTTCCTTGTTTTTCATCACTTTGAATATTTCTTGCCACTCCCTTCTGGCCTGCAAAGTTTCTGTTGAGAAATCAGCTGAAGTTCATATGGATGCTCCCTTGTAGGTAACTAACTGCTTTTCTCTTGCTGCTTTTAAGATTCTCTTTGTCTTTAATCTTTGGCATTTTAATTATGATGTGTCTTGCTGTGGGTCTCTTTGGGTTCCTCTTGTTTGGAACTCTTTGTGCTTCCTGGACTTGTAACTCCACTTCTTTCATCAGGAAGGGGATGTTTTCTGTCATTATTTTTTTCAAATAGGTTTTCAATTTCTTGCTCTCTTTCTTCTCCTTCTGGCACCCCATAATGCGAAGGTTGGGCCACTCGAAGTTGTCCCAGAGGTTCCTTATATTATCTTCATATTTCTGAATTCTTTTTTCTTTTTGCTCTTCTGGTTGGGTGTTTTTTGTTTCCTCATGCTCCAAATTGCTGATTTGATTCTCAGTGCCCTCAACTCTACTGTCGATTCCTTGTAAATTATTCTTCATTTCAGTTCATGTAGCCTTCATTTCAAATTGGTACTTTATTATGTCACTGATGATCTCATTAGTTTCCTTAATTGTCTTACTAAAAACCTTGAGCATCCTTATAACCATTATTCTGAACTCTGTATCTAGTAGCTTGCTTGGCTCTATTTCATTTAGTTACTTTTCTGAAGATTTTTTTCCTGTTTTTTCCTTTGTGACATGTTTCTTTGCCTCCACATTTTGGCTGCTTCCAGGTATCTGTTTCTATGTATTAGGAAGAGCTGCTATGTCTCCTGGAATTAGAAGAGTGGCTTTGTGTAGTAGGTGTCCTGTAGGGTCCAGTGGCTCAGCCTCCCCAGTCACCTAAGCTGGGCCTTCTAGATGCTACCCTGTGTAGGCTGCATGCACTGTCCTGTTGTAGTTGAGTCTTGGTTGTTGTTGGTGTCACTGGGAGGAATTGACCCTCAGGCCAACTGGCTGCGAGGCCCAGCTGCAACTATAGCCAAAGAGCTGCTGTGCTGGAGATACCCCTATGGAGCAGGATTTACTTCAGTGGAGTTTTGGTGTTCACCAAGTGCGCCCCTTGAGTGTGTCACTCATGGATGTGGTAGGGTTGTAAACCAGCATGGTAAAGTCTGACCACCAGGTGCACTGTCTCTGGGGCCTCCCCGGAGGTGCAAAGTCAGCCTCTGCCTGTGCCTTGCCCAGAGCAACGCAGCATGAGCTACACAGCAAACTGTCGTTGGCTGCTACTTGTGCTGGGCTTGGAGGTGTCTAGGAGAGGCCAAGCTATGAATCAATGCAGGCTGCCACTAGTGCCAGGCCTGGGGCCACTTATCAAGATGTATGGGTCACACTGAGGCCAGCTGCTGCTTGCTTGAGAGATTTTAGGGAAGTCCTCAGCATAAGGCTAGAGAGGTCACTTGCATAGAAAAGCTACTGGAAATGGCTTGGATGAGCTGACAAGTAGGGAGGGGCGGGGTCTCCAGGAATCACCTGGGCAGGGCCAAAGGTGTGAGTCGGGTGCTGAAAATTCAAACATGGCTCCTGCCTGCTGGCTCTGTGGGGCAGAGGGCTCGTCAAAGGAGCAATGACCTCTGCCAGCTCTTCTGTCTGGGAGAAAGCTGCCCCTTTACCTCTTGCCCCAATTTCAGGCACATTAACTCCTCTCCTAATGTCCCAAGTCCTTTCAAGCCACTGCCCAGCACTGGAGCTCAGAGGGAGCGTGTCTGAGTGCATGCACGGCCCTTTAACAGGAGCTCCCTGGGACTCCGCAGCCTCCGTGTCACTTAGCCACTGTCCCCGCTGGTTTTCACAGCCCAAAGTTATAGGGATGTCTCTTCCCAGCCCTGGAACCCTGGGCTGGGGGGCCTGTTGTGGGGCTAGGACCCCTCACTCCTCTGGGAAACCTCTACTGCTGAGATATCCCTCCTGGTTTTAAACCTCGCACCTGGGTGTGGGCCCATGGCCAAGTCTCCCCCATTCAGCCCCATGTCTCAACCCCTCCTACCTGTCTGGATGTGCTTCTCCAGTTCCCTAGTTGTAGGACTTCTGTTCGGCTAGATTTTGGGAGGATCTGAGTGATGGTCATTCTGTATTTTAGTTTTAATTTTGAGGTGGTTGTGGAAGGCAGCAGGTCCCCTGTTACCTACACTGCCATCTTGCTGTTTCTCTGTAGGAATACATTTTCTACAAAACAACATTACAAAGTAATCCAAAATCTCTCCTCTCGATTTCATTTATTTCAATCTCCCTAGATAACCTAAAATGAAGTAGAATTTCCTACATTATTTGAGAAAGTGATGTCATTCCTGTTTAGCCTAACTGACACATATAATCGGGTTTCAACAAGAGAATACATTCAATCCCCACCAAGAGTAGAGAAACAAATGTGCCTACTGTACACCAGAAACTAAACAATTTGACCAAACAACACAAACTCACTCTCACCAGGAACATTTATCTATAAAACAGAAGAGACATGACTTTTATATAAAACACAAAGCTTTCCAGGAAGTATGAGGAGGGAGGGCCATTTTGTATTTTAAAAACCTAATGTCTAGATCACTGACGGAAGTGGAGAACAAAAAAAGAAAGACTGTCTTCCACCTGGAAGTGCACTGGGACTGAGCATAGCAGCCAATGCAATGAAAGGGAGCAAACACCTCTGTCATGTGTGAGTACAAGGAGTTGAGCTTTGTGCTCTAAATAGGTCACCTCCTGCAATGTTCACAAACAAACACCCAGTATGAGAAAAACTGAGATTACATTATCCATGTGGTAAAACCCTAGGTACCCAGGTCTTTCAGGAAGACAGCATACCTGTAATCGCTGAAATACTCCTGATCGTAGGCCTCCAAATCCATAGCGGCTCTGCAGGTTCAGAGCACTTTCTGATACCTCTTCATAGGGGGACTGTTCAATTTCCCAATCAAAGTCTTCGTCATCATCTTCTACTCCTCCCTCAGAAGCACCTAAATGTGTTAAATATTAATTTTTTTAAATACTGGATTTCCTAGGTACAACATGGGAAGAATAAAATGGGAGGAAAAATGACTGCCTATGTTGCACCAAAAGAGAGTAAAAGAATATGCATATTCTAGATAGCCAAAAGAATGGATCCAACCCAGAGTCCATCAATGATAGGATGAATAAAAAATAAGCGCAATGAAAGCAGAGACCTCGGCCATACATGCATAAATCTCACAAAAATGTTAAGTGAAAGAAGCCAGACAAAAAAGAACACATACTATGTGAGATACATATACACAGAATTCAAAAACAGGCAGCAATGAGGATAGTGGGCATCCTGGAGAGGAAGAGGGAGAAGTGAGTGAAAAGAGACACAGGTAGGATTCCAGGGTGTTGGAAATGTTCCATTTCTTGACTTAGGCGGTGTTCACTTCCTGTAACTCACTGAATTGTACACTTCTAATCTTAGTTCAAGTGGTCAATATTCTGTTAAAGACAAAGATGCTGTTACGATTGGTCCAAAAATATGACTGACAAACTGGTTCAGGGGAGTTCTTTATGTCTTTAAATTATATGTTACCAAATGAGCTATTTTCACATAACCTCCTTATCTTGTCACCTGAAGTATTTTCTCCAATCTCCTGTTTGCTAAATCACCCTCCCCTGGAAACAGACAGCATTATAAATATTCTGCTTTTCTTTATTTTCTTCCAACTGCAATAAACATACCTATTTCCTCCACAAGTGGTTTTGCAGTCCTGGATTTTCTTGGTGCCAGAAGCGCAGTTAACATGTTCAACCCCTCAAAATGCTGGCCAGGAGTTTCTTTGGGCAACTGAATGGTAAAAATTCCTTAAAGATAAATTTGTTTTATGCTTAGCAAGATTAAAATATTCAAAGAATTCACAACTATATCTATGTAATACATATCTTGTTTAAGTATAATTCTGTTATAGAGCTCCAAAATTATGCCTTTCATATAGTGAATAAAAACCAAAATAGAAAAGGTTCCAAGAAGGCTTTTCAGAACCACTGATTCAGCTGTCACTGCTATAAATTAATCTGTTTAAGCTAAAGAATGCTTTAGTCTTTGCGGTATCACCTTAACTAATTATTAATAATATTAAAAGTCTAAGTCAAAATGTCCAAAACTCAGTGGTGTGAGAAGGTAACAGCTTAGAATTAACCAGTAGCTACTTATAAAATTTATTTCTGGACTAGGAAGGCAAAAAAATCAGGATACATTATCCTATAGAGAATAGCAGCAATTTCAAAAATACAAAAAAAGCAGTTATGGCTTAATAAAGTTCTTTACTATCTCAAGAGCTACACTCCTAAAGTCTGTCTAAAGCACACACAAATTATACCTATGTACTTCTTTTCTTTCCTTGACTGGGTTTATCAAACTTCATCTCAGCTCTGCTATGAATTCATTACATTATTTAATACTCTTACATTTTAAAACATTTTACCTCTTTCACTGTACTGAACCTTATCCTAATATATTAAATACAACTTAACCCAAAATATTTCCACATACAGCAACCTTCCTAAACTCCTGTGTCTTTTTAAAATGTAGTAACAACTTATCTACAATTAAAAGATTTACAACCTAGGAAGGCAGTTTCATTATACTTCCTTATCACATTAATTACATTGCACTTTTGGTTAGAACTTTGTCATTTAACATTTTCATCCCATCTTTCCTCCGTTACCCTAGTTCATCAAGGTAAATAAATAAATATGCACTGAAGCCCGGCCGGGCATGGCTCAGCAGTTGAGCATCGACCTAGGATCCAGGCGATCGGGGTTGATTCCCGGTCAGGGCACATGCCCGGGTTATGGGCTGCAGCCGATCAATGACTCTCTCATTATTGATGTTTGTCTCTCTCCCTCTCCTTTCCTCTCTCTGAAATCAATAGCTATATTTTAAAAAATAAATAAATAAATATTCACTGAATAAATTACATAAGAGTACACAGTATATTCTTATTCATATCCAGTAACAAAGTAAAATACAGGGGTTTCTATAATGGGAAAATAAGTAGTTTTATGGCTAGCTGAAGTGAAGGACTTAATCAATCACAAAAAGAAAATTTAATCAGCCTTTAAATGACACCTATGGACAGCTTCTTTCTCATCCACATATTATTAAATTTTAAGTTGGAAACTGTACAAGAAAGATTTGATTCACAGCTAAAATCATCTGTATCTTCTATTGCCTCACACATTCTAACTTTTACTTTTAAACATTTAATAAATGTAGAGGAAATAGGAAATAAAAACTATTATAAGTAAATAGAACCAGAGTGTTTAACTTTACTGTGAAGAATATTGTGAAATACTTTAAAAGACTAAATTGTCATTGTTAAGAAATCCATGATAACAGCACTGGAAACTGAAAAACTTTAGTGACAGGAACAGACTGCACTTGCAATACACCTAAAAGGTCCTCACAGTATCTTGAAAGATTTTTACGTAGTTACTCTAACATGAAGAATCCAAAGGACAAAACTAACAAAATCTCCAAAGTAAATACCTTTATCTGCATCATAGGACCCATGTTCACTCCCATTCTCTACAATTCTTCCAGGAAGGGTCAATCTGCAGATTTAATATAAGGTCTCATGAAGTCCTTAAATTACAAAGTATAATAAGTGGCCATCAATGACAGTATACATTGAAATCTATCAACCATTTTAAAAGGCAATCCCTCAGCATTTCTTTAACATTTTACAAACTAAGTAACTTATATTTCTTTCCTAGCTAAGAAAAAAGAAATCAGAGATGACTCAGCTGTCTGAATACCCACTAGTCACCAACAAAACAGATACTTAAAAAGAAAAGCCACAATAAATATTAATTATCACTACTGTTACAGTACTTCCATCTCCCTAATGAGTATTTATATACCTGGTGCCTGACACAGCAGGGGCTCAATAAAAGTAGATTAACTGGCTTCCAAAAAGGGGGATGGAGACAATAAACAAATTGTATTGGGCAAATTACTACTTAAAAAAAGCAGAAAGCAAGAGTATTTTTCTCAAATCCCATAATTAATATGTGGGGATTTCTCTTTCTTTCACACTAAAGGAAATGAACTGATCTCCCTGTTTCCAGTTTTACTCTGATTCAGTCTTCCACTGAGGCCCCAAAAGAATTTTTCTAAAACAGAACACTGATTGTCACTTTTCTATTTGAACAAGTTTCTGACTGCCGACACTAACTGAATTAACTTAAACTCACTAGTAAGGCACATCAAGCCAGCACCCTTCCATTCCAAACTTAAAACCTGAGCCCCTTTATTCCCACCCCCCTCCCTTGCGTCCTATTCTAACAATAACAGTAACAGTAATAATAATAACACTTGGCAGACCCCAAAGGGCCCAGGGCTTCACAACTTAGTTACTATTGATCCCAACGGTTTCCTGGAGCTACAATGAACTTTCCAAGACAAGATCCCTTCTAAACCCAGTATAAGGAGTCAGTTTATGGATAAATTAGTTATAATTGTTACAAATACTAACTTTACTATCAGAATCTGAATTGCATCCCAGCTCTGCTATTTACCAGCTCTGTAATTTTCTTTATACGAGTTAATTAACTTCAAGGCTCATATTCTCATCTGTAAAAAGGTAAAAATAACAGAATCTATCCCAGGGTTACTATGAGAAGGAAATGATAATACAAAGAGCTTAATGGCTGGTACAGTAAGTAAGCATTTAAAAGATGTGAACTATTATTATCAGCTCCTTCCTCCTAGACTCCTTGTAAGTATAAATTCTTACTATGTAATAGTGAAATCATATTTGTTCACAGATCTGCCTCCTCTGCTAGACTCTCAATTCCTCAAGGAGAGGGGTGAGATTTTATTCACCTTTGATATACTGTAGCAAACTGTATTTTTAAAGATGGCCCATCTCACATCATTCCTCCCAACAGTGGGGGGCCTATGTACCCTCCCTTTAAAAGTGGGCTTCTGGAACTGTTTTAACCAATACAATAAAGCAGAAGTGACACTGATTTTGGAGATTAAGTCATAAAAGATGGTATGGATTCTGCCTTGCTCTCTGGAATACTCACTTTCAAAACTTTCAGCTACCCTGTTAGTAGCCCAACTCCCTGAAGAAATCACAAAATAGACCATGCAAAAAGATCACACAGGGAGGCCCTGAGACTACAGGAAGAGAGATCCTCCCCACCTCACCCCACCAGTCTCCAGTTGCTTCGGCTGTTCCAGATCTAGCCACCATATGGCCACAACTGAATTAAAAACAGCAAGCCAGGAGAGCTCAGCCAAGCCCTTACAAAGTTCCTGACACACAAAAACCAAGACAGGGAGTTAGTGACTGTTGTTTTACACCATTAAGTTTTCTTGGTTATGTAGCAACAGATAACTGGAACAGCAGGCCCTTAATAATAACACCACCAGGTCCGGCAGGCGAGGCTTAGCTGTTGAGCATCGACCTAGCATCCAGAAGATCAGGGGTTGATTCTGGTCAGGGCTCATGCTGGGGTTGCAGGCTCGATCCCCAGTCGGGGGCATGGGGGAGGCAGCTGACCAATGATTCTCTCACCATTGATGTTTCTCTCTCTCTCTCCCTCTCCCTTCCTCTCTCTGAAATCAATAAAGATATATTTTAAAATAATAATAATAATACCTCCTGATTATTTAACACATGGATAAATAGCAGGCATGGTAATAAGGACTATGAATGAATTATCTCAATCCTCATATCAACTCTTTAAGACCACTAAACATGAGTTCCATTTTACAAATTAGGAAAATGAGGCTGAATAGCTTGCCCAAAGTCACAGAGCTCTAAGTGTGCTGAAACTCAGATGGGCCCAACTTCCAAGCCTCCGCTACCCAAGGAATGGATCTTTAGATTGTTTCACACATTACCTCTTATTTTGTCTTCATCAAAACTCCCCAGCTTAAGCATGAGTGATTTTTACTTTGAAATTTTTATTTTACTGTATTCATTTTATTTCATAATCCTATCTCACTTAAGAACTTTTCTCTGAGCCTCTGATCCCTCATCTGTACCAGGGGTAAATAACAGAACCTACTTTGCAGGACTTCCCTAAAATCAAATGGGATCACTCATATAAAGCACCAACCTGGAGTAAAAGTTCAGCAAACGTTTGCTAACAGCATCATCATCTGTGTTAAATATCACCCGTCCAGAAAGGCTTTCCTTGGCAACTTTATATAAACACAGGCTCCCTTTTATTCTCTATCAGCGCAGTTTATTTCCCTTCAGAGCTCTTCCGACAATTTGTAGTTATGTTCACTTGATTTTTTAATTATTATTCTTTCCCCGCTACAATGTAAACTCCATGAGGCACCACTACATCCCCAATGTTGAAAACAGAGCCTGGCCCGGCCGGGCGTGGCTCAGCGGCAAAGCGTGGACCTAGGATCCAGGCGACTAGGGTTCGATTCCCGGTCAGGGCACATGCCCGGGTTGCGGGAGGCAGCCGATCAATGACTCTCTTATCATTGATGTTTCTATCTCTCTCTCCCTCTCCTTTCCTCTCTCTGAAATCAATAAAGATATATTTTTTAAAAAGAAAAAAGAAAAGAAAACAGAGCCTGGTATATACCATGCGCTTGATAAATAAATCAAAGAAACAGATGAGCAAAAAAAGAGAAGTGCGGCGCCTCCGCGGTGTTGTTAGGACCAAACGGGCTCCGGCCGCGGGAACAGCCCGACCGACGGGGAGGCCGCTGGGAAGACCG